TTTTGTGGTGCCGTAGCATGAAGTTCCTGTCCATTTGCAATTTTATGCTGTAGCATGGGAATAGTTCTGCTGCGGTGAACAATCTTAAAAAATTCATAACTTCTTTATTTGAGCTCCGATTCTCGAACCGTTTGTTTCTACCCGCTTATGATTCTTTCATCTTCAATGTCCAAGCTTGAAATCCTCATTTTTCAACACCTAAACACCTGAAAATTCACAAAACATACCCGTGATTCTAGAAAACAAAAGAGATATAGAAATTAAGTAAAATTAATCAATTAAACCTAATTCCCTCACAAAATACCCTTAAAATCACTAAGTATGAGTGCACTTCCAAGCACTCATCATCCACGTTCTGATGAGATCGTTTTAGAACATCATTCTGAACAACCTCCACCACAGGTGGAATGACAAGTTGTGCAACAGTCTCAACAAGAGGCTATTGATACAACATTAAGGAGATCTACTAGAACAAAGAAATCAGCAATTCCTACTAACTATATAGTGTATATGCAAGAGTCTGACTATCACATAGGTGTTGAGGATGACCCGGACACGTTTTCACAAGCTATGGACAGTAGTGAATCTGAGTTGTGGTATAATGCCATGATTGACAAGATGAATTCTATGGCAGATAATAAAGCTTGGGACCTTATCGAGTTACCTACTAGAAAGAAACCTATTGGTTGAAAATGGGTATTTAAACCAAAAGGGATTCATTAGGCAACATTGAGAGATACAAGGCTAAGCTTGTTGCCAAGGGGTTGATGCAAAGGAAAGGGATAGATTATAAAGTAACGTTTTCTCTAGTTTCTAATAAGGATCCTTTCCAATCATTATGACATTAGTTGGCCATTTCAATTTAGATTTACATCAAATGCATGTTAAAACGGCTCTCTGTAATAGAGATTTGGAGGAAAAGGTTTATATGAAACAACCTAATGGGTTCATTTCAAGTGATGGTGAGCATTTGGTTTGCAAGCTTAAGAAGTCCATTTATGGACTTAAACAAGCCTATCGATAGTGGTATTTAAGATTTCACATTGTTATATCTTCATTTGGTTTTGTAGAGAATGTCATGGATCGGTGTATATACCATAAAGTCAGTGGGAGCAAAATCATATTTCTTGTGTTATATGTTGATGATATTCTACTTGCAACCAATGATTTGGGTTTGCTGCATGAGGTGAAACAATTTCTCTCTCAACACTTTATGAGTGAAGCGTTTTATGTCATTGGCATTAAGATTCATAGGGATAAGTCCCAACATGTTTTGAGACTATCTCAAGAAGCCTATATTAATAAAATTCTTGAGAGATTTAGGATGAAAGATTGTTCACCCAGTGTTGCACCCATTGTTAAGGGTGATAGGTTCAATCTGAACCAATGTCCTACACTTGAGATTGAAAAGGAACAAATGAAAACTATTCCTTATGCTTAAGCTGTTGGAAGCCTAATGTATGCTTAAGTTTGTACTAGACCTGACATTGCTTTTGCAATTGGCATGTTAGGAAGATATCAAATTAATCCAGGTTTGGATCATTGGAGAGCTGCAAAGAAGGTCATGAGGTATCTTCAAGGAACTAAAGATTTCATGCTTACTTATAGACGGTCCGACATTTTAGAAGTAGTCAGATATTCAGACTCAGACTTTGTTGGCTGCGTTGATTCTCGCAAATCAACATCCGAATATGTTTTTATGCTTGCCGGAGGTGCTATATCTTGGAGAAGTGCCAAACAATCTTTAGTTGCCACTTCTACCATGGAAGCTGAGTTTGTTTCCTGTTTTGAGGCCACTACACAGGGTATTTGGTTGAGAAGTTTCATTTCTGGGCTTGGAGTTGTTGAGTCTATCTCTAGGCCAATAAAGTTATATTGTGACAATTCAGCTGCTATGTTCTTTGCTAAGAATAATAAGAGTGGAAGTCGAAGTAAACACATCGACATTAAGCACTTAGCAATAAGGGAGCACATTAAAGCCAAAGAAGTGCTCATTGAACACATACATACTGAGCAGATAATTGCTAATCCTCTAACGAAAGGCATGCCACCAAAGACGTTCAAGGATCATGTTGTCCAAATGGGACTATGTCCCGCTTTGTCACTATGAGAGGTAATACTTTCATTGTCTGAAACTTTGTAATTTAGATTGTTTTCTCTTTTAAGTTGTATACATTTTGGTTGGAGCAAACAAGCATTTTAGAGGACCTGGAACAAACATTTGAGGTTTGTTCATAAAGTGATATTCCACATTTAAGCATTTATTTAGAAAGAGAAAAATTGCATTGTAATACATGGAAGGTAATACTTGTTTCAAAGGGACTTACCGCTATGATTCATGTACTTTTTCCTCTTTCTAATTGAACATACCACATATACATCTCTTGTGTTCTAGATTATATTAGAGTTTGGACCAAGTGGGAGAATGTTAGACTTTTTACATTATGGTCCTACACTTTTAATATAATTTCATTAAGGTCCTACACTTTTATGCTGATGTGGATTTTAATGTAAAAGTTGTGTCTCTTCCCTTGAGCAGTTGTCTTTGATGGAAAGACAACTGCATATAAAGGAGACTTTACAGGTCCCCATTGGATGCAATTTTTTATTTTGATTCTCATAAACCATCATCCAAAAATTGCAGTCAGTGGAAGATCCTGTAATTTATAAAGGAGCAAGAAGATCAAAGAACAATTGCTATGGCTGGAGGTTTGTCATTTACTTCCGCATATATTCCATGGAGGTTTTATATTGAAATTGATTGTATTATCACTTTTATATGAATATTGGAATATGAATATATTTTACAGAGAACTCACAACCGGGCAATTCTGATCTCTTTTTTTCTTGTATCTTTTTGCGACACAAGCATAAAGGTTCACTTTTTGAGGTTGAGTGGTCATGAAAGAACCATGGTGTGCTTATTAATGAAAACCATTGGAAAAAAAATTATTTATTTGTTTCAATTGTAAACCATATAGTATTTATCCGATCTGAAATTGGGAAGGACCAAATGGAATATTATGTAGACAGAGCAGAACAGGGTCCCTAAGTAGTCAGGCAACATGGTCCTTCATCAAATAAGAATTGGTGTAGCTATCATCTTCTTTCTATAACAGATCCATTAAGCAAGGAAGATTAGCAGAGGCATTGGTGCTAGAATTTTAATTAGAATTTTTAATTAAAATTCATTGCCTAAAATTACTATTTGGTCCTTCGCTTTTATATATAAGTTTTATATAAAATTTAACTGCTGAGCAGTTATCTCCAACGGTTGTCTTTGATGGAAAGACTTTTGCATACTTTAAGAGAGGAACAATTACAGGTCCCCAATATACGCAATTAATTCTGATTTCCCAAAAATCATCGTTCTGAGAATTGTAATGCATTGGAAGAGTCTGTAATCTTTGAAGAACACAGTAACAACAAATTGTTATGGTTGGAGGTTAATGATTAAATTATTTCGCTTCCGCAAATCTCCATGAATACATGAACATGTATATGAATAATGATATGAATATATACATGTTGATCCTAAGTGATTTACATTATAGATCTTACATTTGTATCAAAGTAAATTTATTATCTCTGCCTTGACACGGTTGTTGTGGTATTTAGAATATATAAATTTAGCACTATAAAGTATGATTCTGGGTGCTATTTGATTCTTCATATTTAGTGGATTTTGCAATTGATGAATATAAATTGAAATTGATATAGTTCATGTGTGTGGAGACAATCAGTTCATGCCAAATTTTCAACCCATAAGTCGCCAGAAATTTGGCCAGAATCAGCCTCAACAGCCATGAAAATGGAGGCTAGAATTTTTAGAGAACGGGTCAATTTTCTGGGTTTTACTAACCCAAAACCCGGTCCATTAAAGTTAACTCAATTCTATTATATTGAGAAATAAAGTGCAAGCCCAATTGATCAATTAAAATGTGTAAGCCGAATTCATTTAAATTGGTCAGTCCATCTGATTAAGCCCAATTTCTTTAAATTGGTCAATGCATCTCATTAAGCCCAATTTCTTTAAATTGGCTAGCCCATCTCATACAATTCAATCCACTTAAATTGGTCTATCGAGCCCTTTAAGAGTCAAACCTGGTCAAAGAGCCAAACGGGTCAAAGTCAACCTAGACCAAGATTAAGTTGGACCAACATGACCCGACCCAGAACCGAATCGGGTCGACCTGACCCGATACCAAATTGAGTCAATTGACTCGATTAGAGTTGACTTCAAAGTCAACAGTCAAAGATAACAGTCAACGGTTAACCTTAGCGGTCAACAGTCAAATTTAATGGTCAACTATTAAAGTTAATGGTCAACTGTTAAATTTAATGGTCAATGATCAAAGTTAATGGTAAATAGTTAAAGTTTACCCGATTTTGACCTTGGCGCGTGACTGGGGTGAGGTGGTTATGTGGGTGCGTGAGTAGGTTTTTCTGGGGGCGTGTGACGGATCGTACAGGGTTGTCATGCCATGTGTGGGTCTTTTTATGCATGAATAATGAGCTATTCTTGTTTTAATTTATATTATTTTGTGTTATGTGCAATAATAGATTATGTCATTTTGTGATGTCTTATGATCATATATATTTGATTAATTTAGAGTGGCCACAACATTTAGTTATGATAATATATGTATTAAGTAATATTAATTATAATCATATTAAAGTTAATGACACCGTTTTGTAGTTAATCTTGTTAATATAATCATTTTACCCACAGGGAATGTTACATTGTCATGATTAATTAGGATCAATTATCCTACAGGTATTATGAAATATTAATAATTTTTAGTTTCATCATTAAAGGATAATGAATCATAATATGTAATGTCTTTACCCACTGGGAGATTTGATGATATGTTGATTCATTTAAATTTTGTTATTTGTTTTACATTGGTAAACTTATATTTTTTGTTGATGGTTTGGGCCTCATAATTTATTTAGTAAGCATATATGTTGATATACCTACAATTGATCAAACTTTGATGATGGTTGAGGATAAAGTTCCTTATTTAAATGGTGACAACTACAAAAACTGGAGGGAGACTGTTCTTTTTTATTTAGGGTACACTGATCTTGACTGTGCTCTTTGTAAGGAAGAGCCACCTACACCTACAGATACTAGCACTCAAGCTGAGATTGCCTTGTATGAACAGTGGGAGCGATCCAATCATTTAAGCATGATGTTTATCAAATCTCACATTATGAGTAGTATTCATGGGTCAATACCGAAGTGTGAGAATGTCAAGGATCTGATGGATACAATTCATGCTCAGTTTGAAACATCAGATAAGGCATCACACAGCACCCTAATGATTAGATTGACATCCATGAAGCTCACCGATATTAAAGGAGTTTGTGAGCACATTATGAAAATGAGGGACATCGCTGCTCAGTTGAGATCCCTTCATATGGTGATTAATGATGATTTCCTGGTGCATTATGCCCTGAACTCTCTTTCATCTCATTATACTCCTTTCAAGATATCCTGTGACACACAAAAGGCTAAATGGACAATCAATGAACTTTTGACCATGTGTGTTCAAGAGGAGGAGAGATTTCTTTAGGAAGTGAATGAAACTGCACATCTGGTGATAGGAAATATCAAGTACACTTCAAACAATAATAAGAAGTGGAAGGGAAAAGGCAAGTTGCATGATGTTACAAGCAAATGAAATAAAGATAACACCAAGTTTTTCTTCTATAAAAAGAAGGGACACATGAAGAAGGATTATCCCAAAAGAAAGGCTTGGCTTGACAAGAAAGGTAATCTCTCATCTCTTGTATGTTATGAATCTAATATGATTTATGTTTCTCATACTGATTGGTGGATTGATTCTAGTTCTACAATTCATGTTTCTAATACCATATAGGGTTTTCTGGATCAAAGGAAACCAATGGGAAATGAATGTAGCATCTATTTAGAAAACAGGATGCCTTCATGTGTTGAAGTTATTGGAACATATAGACTTATTTTAAGCACTAATTATATTTTGGATTTGGAAGGAACCTTTTATATTCATAGTTTTTCTAGGAATTTAATTTCACCTTCTAAACTTCTACCTTGTGGATACTTTTTCAACTTTTACAGTAGTTCTTTAATTTAATTAAGAACTCATCTATTGTTGGAAATGGTATTATGGTTGATGGTCTGTCTAAAATTGATTTAAGTGATATTCTTTCTTATAGTTTAATTACTTCACATGCTAGTACTGGTATTAAACGTACTACTATGAGTGAAAACTCTTCTTTTCTGTGGGATAGTAGATTAGGACACATCTCCACTAATAGGATTAAGAGGTTGGTAAATGTTGGAGTTCTTGAAACACTTGACTTTACTAACTTTGATACTTGTGTAGACTGCATTAAGGGAAAGCTGACTAACAAATCCAAGAGAGGTGTCAGGAAGAGTTCTTTTAGATATCATGCACACATATATTTGTTGCCCTGGCGTGAGCTCTAGCGGTTAGAAATATTTCATTACTTTTATTGATGATCACTCACGATATATGTATCTCTATTTACTTCATCACTAGGATGAAGCGTTGGATGCTTTCAAAATATATAAAGCAGAAGTAGATAAACAATGTGGAAAACAAATTAAGATTGTGAGATCTGATAAAGATAATAAATATTATGGTAGATACAGTGGTACAGGACAGACACTTGGTCCATTTGCTAAATTTCTTCAAGAGCAAGCTATTGTGGCTTAATACACCTTACCTGGCACACCATCTCAGAATGGTGTAGCAGAACGGAGAAATAGAACATTAATGGATATGGTACTGCGTATGCTGAGTAACTCCAAACTTCCTCATTCTTTGTGGATCGAAGCTCTTAAAATTATAGCGTATATATTAAACCGAGTTCCAACTAAGGTGGTTCCCAAAACATCATTCGAGTTATAAAAGGTTGGAAACCGAGTTTAAGTCATTTACGCATTTGTGGTTGTCCAGTTGAAGTTAGAGTTTATAATCCACAAGAATGGAAGTTAGATCCTATGACTATTAGTGTATATTTTATTGGATATGTTGAGAAATCCAAGGGATACAGGTTTTATTGTCCGAAACATTCTAGTAGAATTGTTGAATCAAGAAATGCCAAATTTCTTGAGAATAGAATGACGTGGTCAATGGGAGTGATCAACTCAAAGAATTAGTCTTTGAGAAAATTGATGTTTTAGATAATGCTCCTACATAAAGTAAAAGATTGGTTGTTCATCCAAACAGGGTGAACAATGAGGAACCAATCATTCAAAGTCCAAAAACTTGATGAATAATTTTACTTCCTCGCAAGTGCATGAATCGCTATGATAGTATAGTATGCAAAAGCAAGGGTCGATCCCACAGAGTTTGTAAGTTATCAAATAATCCTAATAACTATGTCTTAATGAAACAAATAAATTCAAGCAAATTAAAAAACTAGTAATTAAAACTAAATGTAAAAAAAAAAAAAAAATTAACTACTATTGACTGAGCCAAGATAACACCAATAAAAACTAATTTAAAAACCAATGAACTATAACCTAGGTATCCAGCTTCACCATAATAATCCAATTTTATGCCAACTATCAAACTATTGTTATCACAATCCAATTTCTAGGGTTTGCACTCATATAATTAAGGTATTACCGTAAGGCGTTCAGGATTAACCTAGTATCTTTAACACGAGACTAGCTAGGGCATATAGTCTAGCCTAATGATTAAAAACCCATTAAACACAAGAGCACTTGAAATCATGAATAAAGGCGCAGGCGTATGCACAAATACTAATCATTTAAGAAATCATGAACCAATTAGCATTCTGCCAAGGCTTATACACAAAATACTGATCATTTATTCACAAGAGCTATTCAAGATTGGCTAGGGTGTGTAGTCTAACCTTGTCTTACACAATCAATTAATTAACATTAAAGGTGATCAAGCAATAACATCAACTAAAGATTGAATAAAGGATAATGAATAAAAATAGAATTGCAATGGATTGAGAAGACAAATAGAATTAATAAAGACATAAAACCTTCTTATTAGGCTACATTGGATCCCTAGAAAAGTATTTAGTTACACATGAGCATAAAGAAATCAAACCTCAAAATCTTGAAAACCATGAAGTACAAGAAGAAGAAGATGAAACCCTAAGTAAGATCTCCTCTCCTTGCCTCTTCCTAATTATATTTGATATTATAAACCCTAGCTTCCTAAAATATTGCTAAGGACATCTATTTATAATATTAAATTCGTGAGAGTATTATGGTAAAAAGTTATACTTCAATTAAAACACATAATAACAAATCTGCACATCTCCAAGCACTAACGTAACTTTCATCTCCATTTTTAACCGTATTCCAAGTCACTACAACAATATACACATATAGCTATGAAAATTAGCTACAGAAAGGAAAACTGTAGCAAATACATATTTACAGCTACAAAAGTCAATATTTATAGCTAATTGAAATAATTTTAGTGATAAGATTTTCTCCCTCGAAGCTAATATTCATCTTTTGCTTTAACTTATTAAAATTGTGGCAATAACTAGTCATTTAGCTACAATGTATTAGCTATGGTAAAACATTGTAGCTAATGAATGTATTTAGCTATAAATATTTCATTTACATGGCATATAGTATTATTATTAGCTACGAGTTTAACTATATAGCTATTATTTGTGCATTAGCTATAAAATATTGAAATTTATAGCTAATTAATGTATTTAACTATAAACATTGAGTACATGACATATAGTATCATTATTAGCTACGAGTTTAACTATATAACTATTTGTGTGTAGCTATAAATATTAAAATTTGTAGCTAATTAATGTATCTAGCTATACAAATTTATTTTCATGGTAGTAACATATTTTTAGTATCATTATTAGCTACTAGTTTAATATATAGCTAGTATGTATGTATTAGCTATAATTATTGAATTTGTAGCAAATAAAGAATGTGAAAATTAATTGCTATAATCCTTATAGTATGCAGTTATAGATATTCTAATTTATCCCCTAAGTAATTATATTTTTATTACTTATGAATTAAATAGTTATAGTCAAACAAAGTGTTAATCACACCGCTAAGGTCAATAGTAAATTGGAACCTTCAACCAATAGCTAATTTAAAAGCATCTTTCCAACTTATCAAACTTAGTTTAATACAATTTAAATATCTCAACAAATATTAGACTTTTTTCCACAATATACCCTTCTGCAATAGAACCTTCTGGCCGACTTTTATTATGAATATACGCTTCAATTTTCCTAAGAACCTATACAAATGTTTCTTCAACTACTATAATAACTTATTATAACCATACATTGATTTAAAAAAAAATAGATATATGAAATAATGAAAACAAAATATTGTTATCCGTTTGAACGTCTAATGCTCAGCCCACTCCATATACTCATTTGCTACACGTTCCACATCAGTAATCAATAGTTGGAGATTAATTTGCAAGTTCATTCTATGAACAAGAAATAAAGAATTCATATAAAGCTAGCAATGAAGATAAGTGGCTCTCGTCTCCTTGTGATCTATAAATTGTTCTCAAGGTATCAATTGCAATTGATTCATACCACTCGTGATTTAATTCACAAATAAGTTTACTTATAAAAAATTGAACTGTGAATCCAAGAGACTATGGTTAGCTTGTGTAACAACTGCACTATTGAATAAGCTTGTGTAACAACCACACTATGTAAATATTATTCAAATTATTTTTCTTAAATATGTAGAATTTAATTTTCTTCATTATAATTTATCTTTTAAATGTGAATAATTAATAAATAATTTATAACATTACTGATTATAAGATTAATTAATAAGATAATTTGTTTAATCTTAGTTATGCTGGATCTTATTATATTTAATTATGTCAAGTCCATCGTTGCTGTTTCAATTAAAAATCATGTTTATACTTCAAATAGGATAAAGACTATATTTTTCCCCAAAATATAAAGTGGCGGTAGAGATGGGCGTTTTACTCGCCCTGCCCCGAACATGTCTAATTTTTTTTAAATTTAAAGTGATTGATTGCATGTTTATTTTATTGAAATAGATATATATAAACGTACAAAACATATATTAAAATCACCATTCATATTGCCTTTAATATCTGATCAAATTTTTTACTCAATAAATAGTCTCTGACTCATAAAAATGACAATATCTCTTATGAACTATGATTGGTGGTATTTTTTGTTTAACTAGTACATATATCTTTCTTTTGAAAAAAAAAATATTGAATGACTTTATATAGATGATAAAATAATATAAAGATGACAATTGACATAACATGTTAAAATCAGCAATATATATTATATAATATAATATATATAATATATATATATATATATATATTTATAAGCATTCTCAATTTTATATTATATCTGCCTCTAACCATTATTCTTTTAGGTTTATTTAGAAATTATTATATAATTTAAAAAAAAAAGATATTAATAATCTTAATTGTTAACAAACTGCCCTGAAAATATTGAAATATTTACAACTTTGCCTACATAACCCATTATACACAAATTGCGCACAACCAATTCCAAAATCAAA